AAAAAGTTGCTACTCGCATTGTGTGAGGAAGTGATGATTCAATGCTTGATTCAGATACTGTAGATACATTGTCCATTCTCTGTTCCGATGTCCATAGGCTTGGCGAAAAAACTGCTTATCATTACCTACTGGTTTTTGTATATTACCAGTAGGTCTTACCCTAGTTGATTTTAAATATGTGCAATAAGCACTACCTAGCACTCTATCACCGAGTTGGTTCAAGTGCAAGTTAGAGCGATGTAGTAATGACCTATCTATATGGTCATTTTTTAAAAATGTAATATTACGATTTGAGCATAAATTGTTAAATAAGTTGTTAAAATGTGTTATATTGCTAGCTGAAACTCGGTTATCATACCCTCTTTATCACACTTGAGACTGCAATCTTCTTGGCGTGATCTTTCAGGTTTTCGATAAGCTCGTCCATTTTGGCAGCCACTTTTTCGGGATCTTCAGAAGCGAGGTTATTTGTTCCCACATGAAGGACAACTGTGTCGTACTGCTCACCTTCTGACCAATATTCTTTTATCTTGCTGCTGATTTGTTCCACTCTTGCACCACTGTAAGAGTGGACGACTGACTGGGCAACCTGCAGCCCGTTCAATTTTCTGTCGATCAATGTGCTTGACCATTGAGTCGCCGATCACCAAGACTTTGTTAATTTTTTCCTCCTTCTGCGTTTCATCTCCAGTTTTCTTCTTTCCCTTCTGCTTATGCGTTTGGGTCTTCTTTTGATTTTCGAACTTCGATCGTTCCTTTGTTCTATAGTGATTGATCTAGCTGTTGATGTTTTCGCTCTTCTGCTCGGTTGAATCTAGCTCAGGCGATGATATATTTTCATCTCTTTCATCATTTAATATATCAAACCGTTTTTGTAATATTAATTTGGTTGCAGGCACGTTTGTTGTAGTTTCGGAAGGATTGGCCATTGGTGAGCTTTGTTTTTCTGCTATTTTAGTCCATTCATTTTGTTTTATGTCCAGAATATTTTTTGTGCTTTCATTGTCATTGACAAGATCAGTTACTGTTGCTTTTAGAGATTCAATTTCCGCTGCCATTTTGTAGTTTTCCTTGTGCAACGATTTATCTTTCCGTCTGATTCTACCGCTCGTATAATGGCATTTTCATGATCTTTTTCTTGATTAATTTCAGTTATTATCATCATTATTTTTTATAGTTCTTCTTTGTAGTTCTTACATTCTTCGCATGTTGAATGTTTCGAGTTGATTACAGCTTCGTCTTGCGTAGTGTCATCAACTGGCACGTGTTTGATCAAATTTCGTTCCATCGTCTCGTTATCAACAGTGGCGTAGCTCTTGAGGGTGGTTAGCAGCTGATTGTCCTCGTTGTCTTGTATTATCGAAAGTTTGTTCTCCGTTGGCCCATGCCATTTCAAACAAAACTCGAGATTGAATAGTTCCACCTCTCGGCGATGACCATCTTCCGCTGAGTTGTATATCCACTTCTATGAACTTTTTTAAAGATTCCAGATCCCCCTTCCACAATAAATCATCTTCACGGATATATAATAAAGTTGGTTTGGTGAGTTCTGAATCTGTAACATTGTTTGTGTTTTGAGAAAGGTTTTTGTTTGTATCTTGAACATCCGCTGTCGCCATGTTGATAGTGAGAAATTTCGCGCGAAATATCTCGATGAATACGGTGCGAGACAACTCCAATTTTATATTAGAAGGATCACCAAGAAATTAGAAATAATTTGATATGTAGTTTATCCGAAAACTTATAATTTAAAAGCGAGAAAATGTTGAAAGTCTCGAGAGCCGAAAAGAGTTATGCTGCGCGATGTAACCTGATGGGATGGTTGGCCGTGAGAAATCACGTTTTTTGATTCTCTGCCCACCACTGAAGCTCGAGTTTTGATTCCTCTGATAAAGTCATGCGCTTATAAAAATTCCCTTTACACACCTTGAGGGCTTCAGTTTTATTAAGGTCGAGTGCTTTGTAATAATAATAATAATAATAATAATAGTCTTTATTAATCAATACTCGAAACACACGTCCGAGTTTACATGGAATTATAAGAATATAGTCTATTTTACATTAATTATTTACATCAATAATTTAATAAAACTAGTAAAATTCTACAATATTGTTAAAAATGATTAAAATGTATCATACACTAGATAAAATTGAAGAGACATCTATTTACAAAAGATTTTTTAAATCTTTCAGTTCTTACTAAGGGCAGCTCAAAGTCATGTCCCCTTTGCCTTAAAGTTTGATTTAATTTATTTGGTAATATAGTGGGCCATGTGCAATGCCCAGAAAAGATGAAATCATCTTGCCAATGACTTGGGCAATCTCTCTAATTGTGGTCAATTGTTTAGAAATCAAAGAGCGGCAAAGCTCTTTTAGCGCCCTTTTTCTCAGGTGTGAGAGTTATGGTCATGTGAACAGAGTTAATTATAAATCCTAGTAAAACCAGTTCCTGGGAAGGTATAAAAGCGGATTTATCTGGGTGAATTATAAAACCCAGAGCATCAAATTCCAAAATTGTATCAACAACATTACGTACACATTGTTCATATGTTTACCCTGTAGGAAGAGATCGGCAATGTAACTGGCAATTATATGGCCCAGTCTATGAAGTATTGTTAAGGGGGGCTTGAGCAATTTGGTAAATTTTCTAGGGCAACTTCAAAGGCCATTTGGCAAACATGTATATTGATATAACACGCCTTGCCAGGCAAAGCGAAGGTATTGGCGATCAGGTTGATTAACAGCCACTGAATAGTATGCATCCTTAAGGTCAAGGGAGGCCATGAAGCAATTCTGCTCAATTAATTTGAGCATAGAGTTCAAAGTATCCATTTTAAAATGGTGATAAGTGACAAACTGATTAAGAACTTTTAGGTTTAATATTAATCTGTGACTGCCGTCTTTCTTTGGACGGATGAAAATATTTGACACCACCTCCCCCGGAGTATGAGTTGTTACCTTGATAACACCTTTGGCTAGCATTTTGGCAATTTCCTGATTTATATCAAATTCTTGTGACGAAAACGGAATTTTCGGTTGCAAAATATTTGTGGGTGGGCTATCAAATTCGATTGTGGCCCCTTGCACAGTTCTCAGTATTTCTGGGTCAGAAGTAATATTATGCCAGTCAGTAATAGAGTTTCTAATATCACTGCCTTTAAATGTTTGGCAGCGATTTTACAGATAAGTTTTTAGCTTGCCAATAAATGGAGGAAATCTACTTACCCATGATTTGATCTGTTTGAGTGCGCTTAAAATTTCCTGCCCGGGTTTGGCTCTGAAGGTCGTTTTTTTCTGGCCTTTCCCCCAAAAATGGGATGATAGTCGGAATAACCGCCTTGCTGAGGCTGGAAATTTGAAGACCTGTTCTCTTGGCGATATGGGGGACGGTAGTTTCGAGATTTTTTATTGCGGTTAACCCCAAGTGATTGACTAATGGTATTAGTTTCTTTAGCATCACACACTTGCTTTGCTAAATCATCACCAAAAAGCATGGAGGAAGAGCTACAATCAGTGACAAAACACTTTGGACAAAAGAGCGTACATTTACAACATAATCGACCCCCTGCACCCCCTGTTCAATGTTGTGTGTGGAAATACCTGCGCAAAATGTTCCTTGCCAGCCACTCAACATTGTTTAGGGTGGGGAAGGGAGGGATAGCGGTTTTATGCTGAACAGTATTTGGAAATGCGGAGAAATGTATATATTATATCACTGTCCAAAAACCTTTTGTCATTGATTGTAGGCAACTGGCAGAATATTGTATCATAAATATCAAGTATTTATTACTTGTTCAGCCTTGATTAAAAAGTTTAAATTTACCAAGAACTTGAACAAGTGTTTACCCATTATTTGGCTGGTCTGCTCATAATAAAGTAATTTCAGTTAAGTGTAACATAGGTATAAATTCATACACATATAAATGGCTTAAAATGTAGGGTTGGGGAAACCATCCCTTATACCATGGTGCGACTTTTTGCAGGTCTTAGAAGGTGACACGGTTCATTTTCCAGCCCCGAAAAAATCAGATGAGCAAATATATTGTTCTTGAGCGAGACACACCATTCCTTGCAACGTGTGATGCCCCACTTGATTTAATTAACAATGGATCTATTGATCACATGAACACAGAAATGATGAATGTAAGATGGCGAATGTTTCCGCTCCATAGACATATTCCGCATGATGAACAAAGAAACATTGCGCCTTGCGCTCGGTGCTTTGCTGAGTTAATATTATACGTTGAACAGTGATCTATAATGATGTGTTTTAAGGTGTTAACAAATATGTATTCTGGTCATCACTAACTAATTAGCTTATGACACGTCAACAAATCCCACATGAATCCCAGTCACATTTCATGTAGAAAAGGCAATTAAGTCCAACAATTCTTGCTCTTTTTCTCTCTTAGCTTATTGTACTTATGTCAAAGGAATTGATTATGTGGATAACTTCGAGCGAAATCAATTTGGTTCAATAAAATTCCGATTTTCGTCGATGATTCCCACTATTTATAGTATATTGAAATATGACATCATAATTAGTAAATGGGAAAGTGGGAATCGTCGACTTTTAACCCATTTTCTCTGTATTTTATAACGAAACGTGTGCGCATTTGAAGCCAAAGTATTAATTTATTCCTTACGCACGTAACTGTGCATTTAAATTCCCAACAACGATCATATACATGTGAGAAAATATGGAAATTATTACGCGAACAAGTGTGAGATTCGTTGACTTTGGAATTCAGTTATATATATAATCAATATCTATGGAAGGATACAATCACAACAATGAAGACGCCCGGCACCAGACCCATCATATTTTTACCCACCAATACCCACCCCAATCCCAACCCACAACCCACCCCAACAACCCCACCCACACCACCAACGCCACCCAATGCCCTACCCACTATACCAACACCAACCCCACCCACACCACGGTCGATATCTACCCCGACCCCCTTTTAACCACCCTCCCCACCCCCCACCACTCCATGGCGAAATACGAGTAGATATGCCACCTGTTTCCCCGCCTTCCAACCACGCTCCAAGAATTTTTTCAAATTGTTAAAGATACAGGGGTTCATCTTTCAATCAGCGGCCAAGCACTACCTACAGTTACACAACAGCGTCCTGAAAGACAACAAATCCGCGTTCATACAGAGCAAAAAGGAGAAGCCGATGAGCGTCCTGAAAGAGAAGAAGATGAAGAAGTTTTAAATACACAAGAGGATTCACGGAGCTCCGATGAGAATCCTCGAGGAACAGAAAGCGGACCAACCAATACAACTGCAACTTTGCCAGATCAGATGGATTTATTCTGCAACCAGGCTTTGGTCGGGGTGAGATCTGCGGCCGTTAATGGACATGTAAATTTTTCTAAAGGAAGAATCTCATGGATATGTAAAATCGGAAAAGAGAGAGTCCAGTTAAAACTGAAAGGCCAGCACATAAAATGTGTAAAGATTAACCCTCAGTCGCCATCAATGATTATGATCCTCCTCAGTGAGGAAGGAATGAAAAAACTTGAGTCTGTTTGGACAGACGTCGACAGGGCCAAATATGTCATATTTTTATTAGGAAGCATGAAGTTGCATGAAGTAGAACATGTATCAAAATTGATCAATCAAATGTGTCGCAAGCGGGTGACTCGTTATTTAAGTGACGAGGAGACGCTAAAAATGCGAACAGACATCTTGACTATGATGGCCGAAGTCATTGAGGGCGAGAACATCCCTGATGAATAATGGAATAATCCTGTAGAACCAAATAGGAGAATAATCCTATTGGAACAATCCTAACAATTTATAGTATTAGTTAAAAAATAAGTTAAAATAGTTATACGGAAATACGATATACAATCCGTTGTAATCGTAACTTTCTCAGTATTTTATTCTAAAGCCGTCAGCCTGCAATACAGCGTGCATTCGCGTAGGCATGCTTGTGATAATATTATTTATATAATCTACATAAATATTATATAAAATTTTTATAACTCTAGTCTTAAATTGTCTCCATATACACGCCCTCTAGGGGCTTAAGCATCACTAAGAGGCTGTGTCTTATAAACAGAAGAAATCAGTCTGAATAGAAGGCAATATTTCGCCAGAAAAATCTGGGCTTTGTGATCTTCTTGCATTGTTGCGCAAACGCCTTTCTTTTTGTGCGATCACAGCTTGTTAAAACCCCCTTTTTACGTGCAGGTAAATAATCAAATCCAGCTGCTTTCGCCTCACGATAAAATGTCCTATAGGAAATATGACGTGACAGCAGCCTGCTGTGCGCACCCAAGCGCTTAACAGTAAAATTTGGGTCTTTATCACAAAGAGTTTTTATTGTTCTTATTAATTTTCTCCGATCTCTATCTGACAGCGTCTTTGGTCTACCAATTTTCTTGCATGTTTTAAAATCTTGCTTGTGCTGAACTTTTCCTCCCCTATAAGAGAGACTGACGATTTAGATATTTTTGCTTTTTTAGCAATCGCTCAGCAGGAATATCGTTCCTCTTTGTCTAGAAATAGCGCATATGCTCACGTTGTATCTGAAATATTTGTTTTATAAGCCATTATTACTTGCTTTCTATATAACTACCTCTTATTTATAGCACGCATACTGCGCTTTATAATACTACAGCTTTGAGATTAATCCGGACGATGATGTTATATTCTCCACAAAAGTTATGTAATAAGCACTTAAAGATAATTGCATTGGCTTCCGAACGTGTTTACTAGCCGCTAAATTCCAGATTGCTCTACTAGTTTCGCTTGCAGTTCCAAACTATGAAGTTCCCAAAGTTTGAGTAGTTCTGGAAACATGCATAAATGCATTATGATTAAACTAGAATAATGACATACAATGTATGCGTAAATTAACCATGTGTACGCTCACCAAAACACGGCATCTATAATATTTGTAAACACCATTGGTAATACTATAAAATACAAGTAATTCTAGCTTCAATAACTGAAATGTTAATTTGGCTTAGAATAACGTTTCTGACAATCTGTGACAAAACACTTTGGACAAAAGAGCATACATTTACAATATAATCGACCCCCCGCACCCCCGTTTAATGTTGCGTGTGGAAATACCTGCGCAAAATGTTCCTTGCCAGCCACTCAACATTGTTTAGGGTGGGGAAGGGAGGGATAGTGGTTTTATGCTGAACAGTATTTGGAAATGCGGAGAAATGTATGTATTATATCACTGTCCAAAAACCTTTTGTCACTGATTGTAGTCGGTTCATTAGTTTTGTTACACAAACTGTAAAATTCTGGTTTTAATGCCGGTTTTATTTCGTCCCTCCGTATTCGCGACAGTGCACCCACCGTGTGCCCCATGAGGGCTATAGAGTCAATAGAATGTGAAAGCGCAAGTTTCGTGTTAGTGGGCGTTGTCAGCAGTGTATCACATGCCTTAATATGCCAAAAGTGGCTTTTTCAACGACTTGTTGGATGTTACTTAATCGTAAATCTGCACTCTTTTTAAAATTATTAAGAGTGCTCCAAATTTCGGGGTTAACCTTGGGCACAGTTAAATCCGTGCAGTTCTCGGGCTTGTCATGCTTGGACAACATAGCCTTAAGTTTATCAGGTGTTATTGTTTTTCCCCCACCGTGCCATGGCTATATCAGCCAGATTTTGGACAACCTTAGGTCCTGTCATCACTTCTTCGTTGAGAGCATTACTAAGAGACTCTGTTAATTATAATTCCAACAGATCACCAGGCGGCTGTTGTACTTGCGCTAGTTTCACAGTATTGCCAGTCATCAGGTGTATTTTGATCGATGGTTGTGTTATCACTGGTGGCGGGTCAGCCATCAAGAAGGGCTTGGATATCATTATCCGATGCACTAAGACTGATTGCGTTGTCATCTTTACGGGCCTGTTTGGGCACATAGTCTCGCCTTGTGTTGCTTGGGGCAGGGAGAGGAAAGGGATTACAGGCTCCGAGTAGGTGGTACATTACGTTGTATATCTTCAGCTTCAGCACGTGCGGTGCAATGATACTGTCTTCCATTGTTAGGGTTATGTTGCCGCCAAGGTTGTGGAAGGACTGGAAGGATAGGGTTGTTAGCACAGGATAAAGGTCAACCGTCACATTTTGGGGCACTGGTGGTAACGCCTTGGCCATGTACAAGTACTCTGTTCTCCTGGAGAATGAAACATCCCATTCGTTTTCAGGATAGCCTTCATCAGCTGCATCACATTGCAAGAGGTCCCTTGGTAGATCTGGGAAGCTGCAAATGGCTTGCTTCATTCCATGGTTAGTTATGCGGATGTATGGAACGGCTGAGTTTACCAACGCTTCGATGAAAGTCGCTGTGGGGACGGGTTTAGGGTGCCCGATAACCATATGCCGTACACCTGCAGCGGAAGCGAGGACAACATGGCCTTTCGTGGAGAAATAATTGCACATTTCCTCCTTGACTTGTTGGGAGTTTATGGTTAGGGTTATCACAGGATTATGGGTTAGGATCATATAATCCCATGCCTCCTGGTGCCAGTTTCTGCCTCTTGGTGTTGAAAGCATGACTGTATTGCCGGCAAATTGTATTAGTGTTGATAGTGTTCGGGGGTCGTTGGTCAGCATGTTAACCGCGAACATATCAATATCAAGCATTTCACATGTTACGGGAAGGTAGATTCCCCCAGGTGACGGGTCTGGAGCCCTAAGATTATTTGACATTTTGCCAAGTAATCTTTTTCGGTTCGATGTTCTATTTATAAGGAAAAAATAAGAATATTTAAGAATTTTTTAGAATTTTTTTTTAGAGTTCACTTATAAAAGAAAACAATATTTTAGGATTTTTAAAGATTTTTTTGAAATTTTTTGAATTTTTTCGAATTTTTTTTTTCGGATTTTTTTCCAATTTCATCAAGTGGCTTTTTCAACGACTTGTTGGATGTTACTTAATCGTAAATCTGCACTCTTTTTAAAATTATTAAGAGTGCTCCAAATTTCGGGGTTAACCTTGGGCACAGTTAAATCCGTGCAGTTCTCGGGCTTGTCATGCTTGGACAACATAGCCTTAAGTTTGTCAGGTGTTATTGTTTTTCCCCACCGTGCCATGGCTATATCAGCCAGATTTTGGACAACCTTAGGTCCTGTCATCACTTCTTCGTTGAGAGCATTACTAAGAGACTCTATTAATTATAATTCCAACGGATCACCAGGCGGCTGTTGTACTTGCGCTAGTTTCACAGTATTGCCAGTCATCAGGTGTATTTTGATCGATGGTTGTGTTATCACTGGTGGCGGGTCAGCCATCAAGAAGAGCTTGGATATCATTATCCGATGCACTAAGACTGATTGCGTTGTCGTCTTTACGGGCCTGTTTGGGCACATAGTCTTGCCTTGTGTTGTTTGGGGCAGGGAGAGGAAAGGGATTACAGGCTCTGAGTAGGTGGTACATTACGTTGTACATCTTCAGCTTCAGCACTTGCGGTGCAATGATACTGTCTTCCATTGTTAGGGTTATGTTGCCGCCAAGGTTGTGGAAGGACTGGAAGGATAGGGGGGTTGTTAGCACAGGATAAAGGTCAACCGTCACATTTTGGGGCACTGGTGGTAACGCCTTGGCCATGTACAAGTACTCTGTTCTCCTGGAGAATGAAACATCCCATTCGTTTTCAGGGTAGCCTTCATCAGCTGCATCACATTGCAAGAGGTCCCTTGGTAGATCTGGGAAGCTGCAAATGGCTTGCTTCATTCCATAGTTAGTTATGCGGATGTATGGAACGGCTGAGTTTACCAACGCTTCGATGAAAGTCGCTGTGGGGACGGGTTTAGGGTGCCCGATAACCATATGCCGTACACCTGCAGCGGAAGCGAGGACAACATGGCCTTTCGTGGAGAAATAATTGCACATTTCCTCCTTGACTTGTTGGGAGTTTATGGTTAGGGTTATCACAGGATTATGGGTTAGGATCATATAATCCCATGCCTCCTGGTGCCAGTTTCTGCCTCTTGATGTTGAAAGCATGACTGTATTGCCAGCTAATTGTATTAGTGTTGATAGTGTTCGGGGGTCATTGGTCGGCATGTTAACCGCGAACATATCAATATCAAGCATTTCACATGTTACGGGAAGGTACCGGGTGGCCCAAAAAAAAGTACTCCTGTTTGATTCGTAATAACTTCTAAACAAGTAAAGTTTTTAAAGAGAAATAACTTGCATTAAATAGAGGAAGGACTAACTTAGATTTTGATATATCACAGTTGTATTTAACTTAAAAATTCACGGAAATATTAATGTTAAAAATGGGGAGCATATTTTGGAATGTGTCTAAAATTAGCGAAAATCGGCATATCAAATATTAACTCCAGCGTTTGTTTGCTTAATGACATATTAGGCTAACTTGTATTTCAGCGAATTATCGTTAAGGTTTGTAAGGGATATGGCGTAGATTTAGACATCTTACATGTAAGTCTTAGCTCATTGTTTCCCGAAATATGAACGTTCGAAATTATGCAAGTATTTAATATTAGGTCTTTGCAAACTTAAATGTACATGAAAGACTGACCATGGAAGGCAGGCGCTTAAATTTTTCGTATTCTTAAATAAGGAACACACGCGAATTTTGGACGAATGAATCTTGCTTGTATTTTGTAGATATAATAATACTTTGTTTCATAATAAATAATTTGTCAAGTGTCATTTATTTACTGGTAATAGTGCATGTTTCAGTCGGGCAAATCTTGATTAATATTTGATACGCTGATTTTTGCATATTTCAGACACATCCAGAAATATCCTCCCGAATTTAAAGATTAATATCTCCGTGAATTTTTAAGTGAAATAAAACTGTAATATATCAAAGTCTAAGTTAGTCCTTCCTCTATTTGATGCAAGTTATTTCTCTTTAAAAGCTATACTTGTTTAGATGTTATTACGAATCAAACAGGAGTACTTTTTTTTGGGCCACCCGGTAGATTCCCCCAGGTGACGGGTCTGGAGCCCTAAGATTATTTGACATTTTGCCAAGTAATCTTTTTCGGTTCGATGTTCTATTAAGGAAAAAATAAGAATATTTAAGAATTTTTTAGAATTTTTTTTAGAGTTCATTTATAAAAGAAAACAATATTTTAGGATTTTTAAAGATTTTTTTGAAATTTTTTCGAATTTTTTTTATTTATTTTTTTCGGATTTTTTTTCGAATTTCATCAACGACTTGTTGGATGTTACTTAATCGTAAATCTGCACTCTTTTTAAAATTATTAAGAGTGCTACAAATTTCGTGGTTAACCTTGGGCACAGTTAAATCCGTGCAGTTCTCGGGCTTGTCATGCTTGGACAACATAGCCTTAAGTTTATCAGGTGTTATTGTTTTTCCCCACCGTGCCATGGCTATATCAGCCAGATTTTGGACAACCTTAGGTCCTGTCATCACTTCTTCGTTGAGAGCATTACTAAGAGACTCTATTAATTATAATTCCAACGGATCACCAGGCGGCTGTTGTACTTGCGCTAGTTTCACAGTATTGCCAGTCATCAGGTGTATTTTGATCGATGGTTGTGTTATCACTGGTGGCGGGTCAGCCATCAAGAAGGGCTTGGATATCATTATCCGATGCACTAAGACTGATTGCGTTGTCGTCTTTACGGGCCTGTTTGGGCACATAGTCAGAGCCGTCACTCACAGGCTCAGATTCGGAGGGCACAGAACGTTTTTTTGCTTTTCCTCTCTTGTTTCCCCCGTTTAAGGAGGCCAGATTCTGCTAGCCCTTATAAGATGGTAGCCATGGTATCAATACTGCAGTTTATAGCAGTAAGTGTCGTGCCCAAATCTAACTCAGGTTGAGTACAGCGGTCAGGTCGACCAGCATATGGACCAATTTGGTCAAGTTCGTGGCTATGAGTCTCAATTTCGGCTTGGTCAGGTTGACTGCCTTCAGTCAGCTCACGGTAGAAACGTCAGGTTGACTTAATGGTCTCTCAGATACTGATTGCTTACTAGTAGAAGCCATTACACAAAATAAACTTTTTTCTAAATAATTACACTGACCTGAAAGGTCAAGTGTCTTAAATCCATAGTTTTCTGTTTTCTTCTGTTTTTTTCGTCGTCGAGAAATCGAATTTGCGTTCGCGCATTGCAGGCTCAGGGTGCAACGATTAATCCAAAATGCCATCTATTCTTCCACTCCACGATTCATATATAATGGTAAGAAGCTTGTATTTATGTACGTAATAGCCGGCTCATGTCATGCTTGTGGTGCATTTTTCGTTTATTAGCCCATATATAGAGTTATATGGACTTACATGCACGCGCACAATTCCGAACTCCAATGGTGACATATTCAATCCAGTTTCAAAATGGCGCCTTTTGGCTGAGTGATCAGAATATATTTCACACAGTTTCGTTGAATTTTCAAAGAGTTGTGCCGGTTTCCTATGGATTTTACGTTGTGTCGCACTCTGAACTTTCTTGCATGTTGAATGAATATGTTTTTCTTCGTGTAACGACTCGAAAACCCCAAAATTTGGACCCAGCGAATTTTACAAAGGACAAGTTAAAGGTTCGACTGTTTGACTTTTTAACTAATAAACAACTGTCTATAAATATACGTTGTAGAGTCATAAACATCCGTGGTGTAGTTGTGTTCATTTTTTGTCGCACTCTGGACTTTTCTGCGGTTGAATTAATGTTTTTATTTTTGTATTTAACGACTCTAAAATTTGGCTTCCAAAATTTGGCTGACCCGGCGGATTTATACAATCAACGACTCGAAAACCCCAAAATTTGGACCCGACGCGAATTTGTACAATATAGTGGAATATAAGCAAGGACAAGTTAAAGGTTCTACAGTTTATTTTGATTTATTGTATGGTTCTCATTTGCCTAATACAATAACATTTAGTTCACAATACAATATAAACAGGGGCAAGTTAAAGGTTTGACCATATTAAAATACATGTATTGAAATTTGTGCAATGGCTACTAGAATTCGCGCAAGTAAAGATAAAGCGGGCGTTCAAAATACCAAAAAGAACCAAGACATTTATTGTATGGTTCTCGTTTGCCTAATAGAATAACATTTAGTTTACAATATAATATAAACAAAATATAAACAAGCGCAGTAGCTACTAGTTGGTGTGCCAAACGCTTTGTGGTAGCTATACTAAAGATAAAGCGTGCCTTCAAAATACCTACAAAAACTAAGATATTTATTGTATGGTTCTCATTTGCCTAATACAATAACATTTAGCTCGACGCGAATTTTAACTAGTATCATATTTCATAATATAATGAACAATGTAAACTAGCCAATTCTTTTCACCTACAAAATGTCGACAATATACCTTAATACATGTATTAAAATTCGCGCAGTAGCTACTAGAGCTCGAGCAAGTAGTAAAGGTAAAGCTTGTATTCAAAATACCAAGACATTTATTGCATGGTTCTCATTTGCCTAATACAATAACATTTAGTTCACAATATAATATAAACAAGGAATAGTCGTTCGATTTGGCAATACTGTTTGCTCGTTTTGAATGTATATTGATCGATTTCAATAATCGATTTACATATCAGTCTGCTCGATTCGAGTAAGTGTTGCCCGATTTGTATCATTGGTGATTTGGTGTTCGACTTATAACTATTGGACCTATTGAATTTTGACAGTAAAAACGCGCCGTATATAATACATGTATTAAAATTCGCGCAGTAGCTACTAGAATTGGCGCA